TGATATAACAGAGCTCGAGTTGTTTTGTAAATAAGAATGGGCTAAACTTTCTGTCTCTAGATGAGAAAATCTTGTCAAACCTCAAAATACTGCTGCTGTTATTGCAGCAAAAGAAAATCTCAGCATGAAAACATGTGCAAAAGTTGAAGGTGTATTAATACTTTTGCAATCATTCAATCATTTATCATCTATCATAAGGCCCTATGAAAACATCAAGGAAAAGGCCCAACAGACGACAGCGCTGAGCAGGTGAGGAGGAGCTGGAAGACAGATCCTCGCATTCATTCTGCATTCACATATGAACAGAGCTAGCCTGGTCGTACCACACCATTGTACAAATTACAGTACATTTCATACTGAGGTCTAGATTAGAGCAGTGACCTTTGGGCCAGAGGGTCCTGGGTTTGAGCCCACCGTAAGACCTTCTTCACAACTCCCACTGATGGCTGCTGTCGTTGTGTCCTTGGGCAAGACACATAAACCCACTTTGCCTGAAGCCCCCGCTGAAAGATCAAGGCAATTTCTGGATAGAACCAGACCGGATTACTTTACTATCACATTCGCCATTGCCAATCTACAACCTGCCAATTTGGTGCAAACTCTTGACGTCACCCACATCTAACTACAACACCCGCCTCCCGCGCTCCCTGATTGGTCCGATGGGATTCACCCGATGTAATTGCTGACACCGGGACTAGACGGTACATGCAGGGAAATGATTATTGACTGGAGTTTATGGACGGCTAAGGCCAGGCTAGAATAGAGCTGACCTTTTGGGGAGGGACACCTGTGCTTGACACCCCCTACTGGAGACATCAGCTGATGATCTGACTGTAGGCAGCGGCGATGTTTTTACAACAATTAACATATTCCATAACTTCACAAAATACAAAATGCTAGAGCACGATAAAAACAACAAAACCATTGATCCTGGAGCCAACCCTAACCCTGAGTTCAGGAGCCATGCTGCCCACTCTGGCTGCCCACGCTGCCACTGGGTGTCTCTCCACTTGAAGACAGGCTCTTTCACGTTACAATACAATACAATACAATTTATTCTTGTATAGCCCTAAATCACAACAGAAGTAATCTCAGAGACTTAACAAAACCATTGAAATCACAACACAGATCAACAGTTAAAACACAGAAAGAATATAGAACACATGTTGTAGAATGTTAGAGTGTCCTGGATCATCACCACATCCTTTTTGTTGGACACTAACTGTTGGACACTAACGTTAAACCCCTCCCTACTATTTTGTGACATCCCAATGCACATCACTTGCGGTGAGATCTGGATTTTCTCCCGACACAAATAAACTCTAAAATTCAGGACGTGGGCAGAAACTGGCTCTGTCTTTTTTAGAGTTGGGTGTGTTTGTGTGAAAATATATCTGAGGAAAGTCTCCCACTTTTGTTTATCTTCTGTTTTATAAGAAATGTAATAAATTAAATCTATTAGTCATTAAAGGAAGACAATTTGGAACAGTATATTTTGTTGAGGGAACACATGCTGTGTCTGTGAGGGAAGAGAGCTGAGAATGAGATGTGTAAACTGTGAACAGTGTTGTCTCTCTGTGGAGCGATGTTAATCAGCCTGCAGCTCACTCATTAGTTTGCAAGATAAATACCTACCTTGCTCATTAGCTTTCATGCTAAACACTTCGGTCATCAGTCAGTGGTAAATTAGTTATTTATTTTACTGAATGTTAAATGCCAATGAAAATGTTAACAGCGCAGTTTAGGATTATGCAGTCCAAACACATCTGCAATTAAATAGTTCAACTCACCATTATGGACCAAAAAAGTTAACTGTATTTTAAATAACGCAGAGTAAGTTATAGGCCTCATTTTAATGCTATTATAATAATGACAAATAATATCAAATAAAAACATCCAAATGTCTATAGACTGGCTTTAGAGCTGCATCTGGGGAGGTGCCAAGACGTGAGTGAGTGTCTGTGCAACACGAGCCCTGAGGACACGGAGGAGGATGTAACAGCTTGTTCATTCTCCACAGTGATGCAGGTGTGTTCACACAGCTGGATCTGCTCCACGCCGGAGCACAGGCAGAACAGAGCTCCTTCAATGGGACTGAATGTCGTTTACCTGAGGTAAAATGGACCATGGCCCTGAACATTGCAGCGTAACATAAGCATTGTCCTTTTTCAGTATAATATCACACTGGCACACACTAGGCTTTTTGCACATTACTTTCAAATCAATTTTAATAGGCAGGTTATTTGACGTTCTCTGCTTTAGCCTCTAAAAGTTGTGAAACGCTCCTTTTACCTGCTAAGACCTGCCCTCCACATGTGTGGACATCACATTTTGGGCTGTACAAACATAATACTTCATCCTGATTTATTGGGGCCTGGGGTCCACATACAGCAATACCTACACTGCCCTCTAGCAGTGTTGGAGGAATTACAGCACAAGCTAAGACAAAACAAAATGGCTGACCGCGCACAGGAGAGTTCACATGCAAGTTCCCAACCAAAAAATCCACCAAGTAAAAATTCCAATCTGATTTCAAAGATTATTCTTGTTCAGATAGTTTTATAAGTGATGTAAGTTTGTCATGGCATGTGAATTTTACAATAATTACAATTTAAAAGCAATTGTCTGGACTGCTAAACATGATGTCCACATATGTGGACAGAAGGACTGAGTTTTGTTGAAAATTGTTCTAATCGCATGTGGAATGCACCTGTGTTCGATGGAATTTTTTGCTATTATTGTCAAGTTTTTCTATGTCACCATCAACTAAAAGGGCCACCTGTTGAATCAAGCCAGCATACTATATAATTCCAAAATTAGTGCTTGCTTGCTCTTTGATTTAGTCTATTTCCTATGAGTTAAATCCATCCATCCATCTATTTTCTTCCGCTTCATCCATTGCCGGGTCGCAGAGATGCCCAGACTTCCCTATCCACACACACTTACTCCAGTTTGTCAGGGGGGAGCCCAAGGCCTTTCGGCTCAGCTCCCTCTTCACCGCGACCGCATCACTGCACCGATCCGCCTGTCAATCTCACGCTCCATCCTTCCCTCACTCGTGAACAAGACCCCGAGATACTTGAACTCCTTCAGGGAGGACCTCTCCTGGAGAGAGCAAGGCACCTCGGAGCCAACAGAACAACATCGTCTGCAAAAAGCAGAGATGAAATCCTGTGGTCCCCGAACCGGACCCCCTCCTGCGTCTAAAAATTCTGTCCATAAACACAGTAAACAGAACCGGTGACAAAGGGCAGCCCTGGCGGAGGTCAACATGGTCTGACTTACTGCTGATGCGAACGCAGCTCTGGCTCCGGTCATACAGGGCCCGTAAGGCCCTAAGGCAGAATACCCCGTACTCCTGGAGAACCCCCCAAAGGACATCCCGGAGAACACGGTCGAACACCTTCTCCAAATCCACAAACACATGTGGACCGGTTGGGGGCGAACTCCCATGAACACTGAATGAACCGATGGAGAGAATAGAGCTGGTCCAGTGTTCGGGATGAAAACCACACTGCTCCTCCTGAATCCGAGATTCGACCATCGGCCGTAGCCTCCTCTCCAGTACCTTGGAGTGGACCTTACCGGGAAGGCTGAGGAGTGTGATCCCACGATAATTGGAACACACCCTCTGGTCCCCCTTCTTGTAGAGAGGAACCACCACACCGGTCTGCCCACGATCGCCTCGCGATGTTGCAGAGACATGTCAGCCAAGACAGTCCTACAATAGACTTTAGATAGTCTTGGCGGATTTCATCCACTACCAGGGCCTTGCCACCAAGAAGGCTGCCAAGGAGGTATCTGCCCCAACATCCTCAGCCTCTGCCTCCGTTCTGGAGGACGTGACGGGGGGATTGAGGAGAACCTTGAAGTATTACTTCCACCGCCCAACAAGATCCCCAGTGGAGGTCAGCAGCTCTTCGCCCGACACCGTCCACGGTGTTGGCAAAGGACTGCTTCCCCCTCCTGAGGCGCCGGACGGTTTGCCAGAATATCTTCAATTTATTAGGGCCGACCGATAGTCATGCTCCATGGACTCTCCGAACTCCTCCCAGTCCCGGGTTTTTGCTTCTGCAACCCCTGTGCCATGCCGGGCCACGTCACGGTTCTTAATATCATGCTATCTATGTTGGCTTTGTACTGCGCTTCGTCTGATTCGTCACCTGAGACCTGTCTGCCATGGGAGACCCTACCAGGAGCATGAATCCCCAGACAAATAGCTCCCAGGATCATCAGAGTACTCCTTTTGCTGTTTTTCCACTGAGATATGTTTGAACATGTTCCTTGTTCAATATTGTTCATTTATCAAATGTTTGTGTCGAAATAAAGCGTTTTGCACTTTATTACACACTCGTTACTTCATTGCCTTTTTTATGGAAATTCAGACCGAGCGTCCACATATGTGGACAGCATTTTTCTCAAAATTTACATCATGTCAAGAGATGATGCTTAGTATATATTCTTATCTGGCCCCAATATGCCCAATAAGCCAAGATAAATAAAAAATGCATTGCAAAAAAGTGCTCGGGTCTTAGGAGGTTAAAATCATATTGCTTAAATATTACATACATTATTTTACATACATCTGTTAACACAGTGTTAAAAATTATGAAGAGACTCAGGCTTGACACAAACAGAAAAGAGAATGCCCTCCATGTCATGAGGACGATCATGACAAGTGAGATCCTTCAGTCGGCCCACAGTGGGGAAATGTTGTAGCGTAAGGTAAGTGAACAATAACTTGAGACTTTAAATGTTAAAAAAAATCTCTAAGTTTAGAAAAATAAAGTATAAAATGCTGTATATTCTAGTGCAAAAAAATATATAGTTGTGTGTATACATGTTAGCAGCATGAGGGTCTGGGACAAAGTGGCAGTGGACACATGTGGAGGGTGTCATGTGGGGGTGTGTCATGTGGGGGTGTGTCATGTGGGGGTGTGTCATGTGGGGGTGTGTCATGTGGGGCGTGTCATGTGGGGCGTGTCATGTGGGGGCGTGTCATGTGGAGGAGTGTCATGTGGGGGTGTGTCATGTGGAGGCGTGTCATGTGGAGGAGTGTCATGTGGGGTGTGTCATGTGGGGGTGTCATGTGGGGCGTGTCATGTGGGGTGTGTCATGTGGGGTGTGTCATGTGTGTGTCATGTGGGGCGTGTCATGTGGGGGTGGTCATGTGGGGTGTCATGTGGGGGCATGTCATGTGGGGGTGTCATGTGGGGGGTGTCATGTGGGGGTGTGTCATGTGGGGTGTGTCATGTGGGGTGTGTCATGTGGGGGTGTGTCATGTGGGGCGTGTCATGTGGGGCGTGTGTGGGGCGTGTCATGTGGGTGTGTGTCATGTGGGTGTGTGTCATGTGGGGCGTGTCATGTGGGGGGTGTGTCATGTGGGGCGTGTCATGTGGGGCGTGTCATGTGGGGTGTGTCATGTGGGGTGTGTCATGTGGAGGCGTGTCATGTGGGGTGTGTCATGTGGGGGTGTGTCATGTGGGGCATGTCATGTGGGGGTGTGTCATGTGGGGCATGTCATGTGGGGGTGTGTCATGTGGGGCGTGTCATGTGGGGGTGTGTCATGTGGGGGTGTGTCATGTGGGGCATGTCATGTGGGGGTGTGTCATGTGGGGGTGTGTCATGTGGGTGTGTGTCATGTGGGGCGTGTCATGTGGGGCGTGTCATGTGGAGGCGTGTCATGTGGGGGGTACTCATCGTCTTTCTTGTAAAGCCTACACAAGCCTTTACAATATATTTGTTTGACATTGTATCATGGCTTACAGGAAGTGTCACTTCAGTTAAAGTTAAGTTTTCGTATCTTTGAAAAAGTAGTAGATGAAACAAAAGATTGAAAATGATTGTAAACATTACTACACCCGTTCATAGCATCTTTCAAGTTGAATCTTTAAGTTATGGCTCTGTTTGTGTCAGCGTGTGGGTCCTTGACTTTTTCAGTTTATTTTAGTACAGGACTCATTACAGTTTTAATGACAATATAATTACATTTTGATGTAAAGTGGTTGTACGAGCAGGAGGTCAGAGCTTCTCCCAGCAAAGGATATGATGCATTCTGCATCCGTCAAACACAAATGCACAAATACTGAGCAGAGCAGGACCCAGCGCTCCCCACGGACACATGCAGCCGTTTGGCTCCATTACTCTGTGTGCATGCCTAATTACAAACCACATTTACAAATGGTCATTAACAGCCCACAGAAAAATCACATGCTAAAAACAACACTGGACTTTAACTTAAATAATTATATGATTGCTGTATTGATGGCAATAATTAACAATTATTTCAATAATCTATTACTTGGCCAAATTTTTCAATCAATAAATGATATCCTTCAATGCAAATGTTTTCGTCTCTAATTGTGCTTTTTTTTAATATATATATATATATATATATATATATATATATATATATATATATATATATATATATATATAAAACACACAAAAAATGTGTACCTATAGACCTAGACCTCTGCTCTGGTTGGTTCCCAAAGTGGGGTTTCCAAGACAGCACTTTTTTTTTTTTTTTAAAGTGGCCCTTCACCAAACCCAACTCCCAGAACACATGAACACCGTTTCTGTGTTAACGCAGTCTGTGAAAACATTAATTGACAAGCGCTAGCCTCTCCTAACAAACTTCCAATTAGCAAACTTGACTGCCGTAGCCCTGGCTGCGTCCCAAGTCTTCTTAAACAACACCTTCTCCTCATCTGATGTTCTCTTCTTTCCCACAGAGCAAGTGGGTGCAGCAGCGCATTTATCATGAACACAATACATAACTATATGTAGATAACTATATGTAGTATATCTAAAACTGAACTCAGTTTGTTCAGAAATTATAATTATCATTATACCAAACCGAAATAAGAAGTCAAAATACCTTATGTGCACCTGATTTTAATGTATAAAGCTGCTAGAAGACAAAAATCAGGAACTACCAACCAGGACAACGTTAAAATAAAAAAATAAACCTGGGCATGTATGTAATGTACTGTGCCAATGTACAATGTACAATGCCTCATATCTAAAACCATAGACCAAGGTCCCAAGGTGTATGGGAACATAGACCTCAATGTTTTTTAAAAAACGGCTGACCCTCAGCTGTCATACAACCTACAGCTTTATCCAAGGTCAGGTTTGATGTGAATTCTCGTGTCTCTTCTCATCTTTAACTTTTTTTGTCATGAAATCCATTGATTTTCTGTTAATCCACACAATTGTACAACAAACTCTGCTTGCCTCCTATTTTGGCCTTCTTGAGCATATGCCAATAAGCACAGCCATTGATTTGAATGATCTTGAGATGGGGCTTGCCATGGACTCCTGAAATTCAGAGGACAGAGTCCCAAAGTCCACTCTCTGCAGTTTTGTGTCCAAATAAAACAGCCGCTGTTATCACTGCACATCATTTCTGAAGGTTAAACATGCCACTCCAAGAATTAGAGAAATGCTTGCATGGTAAGAGTGCTGTTCAGGGCTGCATCCAAATTGTGTTGACAGCGCCTGCATTTTTCTTTCTTGTTCTTAAAAATGACCTCTTACGGGACAGGTCAAGTGAAATTAAATACCCTTGTGTTGATATTCAATGTAATATTGATTCCTTATGTATTTAAAATGGAAAGAAAAGGTGTGAGGTGTGGTTGTTGAAGTCTTTACAGAAATCGTGTGTCCCAATTTAAAATCTCTCGAGATTGGCTTGTAAACAAACCAAATCTGTAGTTTGCCATTTGCAGGGGCACTACCCACTCAGCAACCCTGCCCTCAGATTGTTCTTAAAAGCCTTTAGCTCTGTACCTTGGGTCTTTTTAGTTTAGTTTTTGGCCGGCCTGCCATCCCCATACCTACTCACTGTTACTGATTACTCAATTACTAGATCAAGGAATATCTTATCAAATAGTTTTAGACATATATCTTATAACTGTGGGGATATATTCAACTGTAGAGGAAAGAACCCCTATGCACTTCTAATTGAATCCTTCTCTGAGTAAATGTTCCTGGAGTCTGGATGAGAGCAGCAGGCGGGTTTTTCAGAGAGCTTTAGTCCCACCAGGAGCTTGGTGAGGAGGTTAACAATTCAGCTGGCCTTGCAGAGAGGAAACGGACTAATGCCGCAGCCGTAGGCCTGGCCCCTTGTAGAAGCGTCCTCCTCCAGGAAGGAACGAAGTCGGTACCGTTTATGCACCAGGCTCCATTGATGAGCACCCCGTAAGCTACATCACATTAGGCTAAAGAGGCTTAAAGAAAATGGGCTCCTTTGGCCATTCTTTGATTTGAACTTATTAAAAGAATTGAAAATTAATCTACCTTAATCCTAAGACTATTTATTGTTCCATTTTTCTACTTGTTCTGTATTGCTTTTTGGTTTCATTGTACAGTGTTAATGATCATTATTATATATTTATAGGTTAGAACACTGATTTCCCCCACTATGGGATGGATAAAGGTTGTATCTACATTTACATCTTACTGTACATCTACAATAACCTAAACCACTGCAATCAATGATTCTGTTCTAAAATGTGTAATCAGCTGGGTTTGAGTAGGACAGGAGTTAAATTAGCTTTTCTATTTACCTCCCACTATTTTATAATAAGACACCTGCACGGTCATTTTAGAAGGAAAAAAAGCTTAATTGTGAACCGTGTAAATTGGACCCGTGGGCACATGATTGCATTTGGTTAATCGGAGGTCACTGGTCAAGGTCAGGCAGCCACTTCTCAGCAGCGTTTTTCTATTGATTCAGTATCTATCTTCACAATATGCAACACAAATGGAGAATGATTGGCTCACAAAGTTTCTAGATAATTTGAACTTTAGAACTCTTTTCAAACTGACTGCATCTTGTAAACGGTAAAGAGAAGTAAGCTGCCTACACTTGGTTAAGATGTTGGTATTGAACCTCTGGCCCTCTGCTGGGATTTTGAGGAGCACAAGTAAGTAATTAAGTAAAGTTTATTCATATAGTGCATTTCACAGACCAGGATCACAAAGCACTTCACATTTATAAAGTCAGTTCCATGAAAACGAATATACAGAATAATCATAACACTTCAGATGGGCCTATGTGAAAAACTGCCTAAACAAATAGGTCTTAAAGGAGCAATATGTAATAATCTGGCCAAAAGTGGTAATGCAACCTCTCCCCCTCTCCCTGACTCAGGTGGCCAGTTATGCAAAAGAATCCAGCTGGGATCAAACGGGACTTTCGTTTGGATGGCTGTCTCGTTGTGTAAGCAGTAACCGGTGACGAAGACGAGGAAGCTTCAGGTTAGCTCCGCCGCTTGTTGTGCTAACTCAGCCGTCCATGCTAATGGGCCTGTAGATTTCTCACGAAAGTGGGGGCTAGTGGTCCGCTGTGATTGGTCACAATCTGCGACCCGAAACACATTCTCTTCCTTGTTTCATCAAAACTCGATCTAAAATATGATGTCACTCCAGCACAAATCTGCGCTACTTTTTCTTCAAAAGGACGTATATCCCAATGCACTGCATGGACATGGATAGCTTTTTCGTAATGAATACAAAAATAAAGTCAGTTAGTGCAGCTTTAAGTTCCGACTTCAAATTGAAAGCTATTTCTAAAGGCGAGGAGCAACAGCCTGGAAGGATCTGTCTCCTCTGGTTTGAGTGCAGGGGACCATCAACAGGTTCTGAGTGGTGGACCTCAGGTGCTCCTGTGGGAGACATAGAGCTGGATCAGGCCCTGGATATATTCAGGCACCTGACCATGAAGAGCACTGAAAGTCAACACCAGAATTTTAAAATGTATTCTCTGTGTGACAGGAGCCAGTGTAAGGACTTAAATATAGAAGAGATATGTGCACTCCTATGAGTGCGGGCCAAAAGCCTCGCAGCAGAATTTTTGACCACTTGTAAATGATCCTAATCTTAGCACAGGTACTAGCCTCTCAGTATCACAAGTTCCTTGGTAAACATGGCTTCCAGCAGCTCTCTGGCAGTTAGAACACTTTAGTACCAGCTCAGCCTGGATAGAACCAAGGCCAAGTAGGAGGTAAAAAGTAAATGGTACCGGTTAATCAGGGCCGGTGGAAACACTCCAAATTGGGGTAGAGTAGAGCTGAGTAAGATCAAGTAGGGCCGGTGGAAACAGCGCTCTTGAAACACTGTTGTACATTTCTACATTGCTGTACACTTTCTTACATTTCTACAGGGTTGCACATTATCACTACAGGTGGCACCACATTCGGACCAGTCCACAAGCTCAAATACAAACAGATTTGTGGTTATATAATATCAACATGCCAATGCATTCTAAGACAAACAACATCAAAAACACAGTTTCCCTTGCGGCGATAATGCTCAGATTTCATCCCAAACTGATCCAACATTGGCACCTGTGAAAAGACAGTGCAGCGCCAATCAGATAAAGGACCAGACATTCCCCTCAGAGCAAAATGACTGAATGTAAAATCATAACATGGACGAGAACCAAGGAATCTTGGAGCCTGCCTGGATCCACAATGTAAACAGGAAATGCACTGCAAATGAACGTCTTTGTTGGTTGAGGAAATAGTAGGTTAGAGTCTATAGCACTGATGCATCGACACTGGCGTCGGCATGAACATAGCAAAACTTAAATAAAATCTTTGAGGCAGTATGTGATTATAGGGGAGAGCTACAAACTGCCCCTTTGTGCTCAAAAGTATTTATTTGAAACCCTCTGAAAAAACTGAGCCGATTGAGGGAAGTA